TATATATATATATATATATATATATATATATATTATGGACTAATCACAAGAATTAACATATAGCAATATATATAACTATTAAATCACAATTGAGTTTAATTTATTCTATTTTTGGCTGTTAACATTCTACTACACTGAGTGCCTGTGCTATTTATGTATGGATGATGCAAATGTCATCCCTACTATCTTGTTTGCATTGTTTTTGAAGAATTAATGTTAGCCATCCATACATTTACTTATTTTTTTGATAAGTTTTTTCCTTATTTGTGTGTGTGTGCATGTGCACGTAAAGGATAAACTTATAAAATATATTAATTGAAAAACTGCATTTAATATTATTAAATAGAAGTATCAATATTAGATTTGCAAAAATGTATAACAATTAGCAAAAAAATCAATTACTTTGTAACATCAACAACTACTTTTACAAGGTAAGGAGGTGTTCATGGTTTTCATCAAATTTTAAAAACAGCACCTTCCACATTAATAGGAACAAAAATATGATTAATTGAAATATTTTATTTTGCATTGATAGAAAGTGTTAAAATGTGCATATAAAATTAAACTATTCTTTTCTGTAAATAAGGTTGTGCTGATATATCATTATCATGGTTAGTAACCTGGTGACTGTATAAGCTACTACATGTGATCATATAGGCTACTAACCATGGGAAATGATTATTTGTTCAAACATTTAAGCACAAAATCTAGTTTGTCAACTTCAATACAAAGTTTTGAGTAAAATTTAACTATAACTTAAAAACTACATCTTACTCTTTAAGAATTTTAATATTTAGTTAACATACTTAAAGTTTTCATGATGAAATTTCAAAATGATTACATTAGGAATTTTCTGTTCTAATGTTTATTATCTGGAAGAAATAAATCAAATTACAGAACAGAGTAAATTCTCCAAACTCATTTAGGTAGAAAAACAGTGCAAGAATGTGACTGTTGAAATAAAGATTGTCACAAAATAACTGAATTTAATTAAAATTTATTACATTGATTCTCACTCCGAACATTATCCTAACAAAAATAAACCTTCAGGTAATAATAAGATGTCATAATACCACTTTTGGAAAAGATAACTTTTTTTTGGTATTGACACAACAAACGTTGAAGCCAAGCATACGAAACTCTGCACACAAGAACCAAAAATACACAGAATAAGAAAGGAAAAGCAGCAAGAAAATATTTATACCAATTGTTTAATATTACCTGGAGGAAAACATCAGGTGGAAACTGTGCCTGTGAAAAGAGTTAGTTAGAGAAGATGTCAGTAAAAGTACAGGTCAAGAATGTTATTTTTAGAAAACAGATTCAAAATATACACTTCTTACAAAAACAAAGTCTGTTAAAGCAGAAATATTTCAGCTTAAAGACCAAAGATAAAAAGATATTTCATGCACAATAATAAATTTACACCAATAATAAGTTTTAAATTGTATAGAAGTTTTATGAAACAAGAAAATGAGTTAATAGAAAGCAAATTTTTGGTTGAAGTTAACACAAATAAATTACTCACACACAGCATAAGCAAAATCTGATCTTTAAATTGTAAACCTTACTAATACTATATGTAATAAGTGTAAAATAATAATAATAATGATTCTCTTCCTCATCAACAAGACTCCATCAGCAATCACTAAGAATAGAAGTACAAACACAAAATAGTAATTATAAGGTTATTACATACAACTCAGCTAAAAACAATTTATCTATACAGTTACTAGTGGCATATAAACCAGTCAAAGTTTGATAAACTTAAATCTAACAGCAAAAACTGGTACTATAAAGATTATGACAGAAGAAGAATTTCAAATTTTAGAAATGAGAAAATAGGATAGTGTAAAGACTGATTACTACACGGACAAACAGGAAGGAGTTTCACAGTTTATATGCAAAAAATATTGAAGAAACAGATATTATAACTTTACACATAAAAAGAAAGCAAAAAAATAATGTTAAAAGAGCAATATATATACAAATATGAATGCACACACACACATATATATATATAAACATAATTTCACAGTAGCCAACTCAATAACTTTTTTAAAGTCTGATGAACATGTTCTGTAAGATAAAGGGTCTTGGATCACCATGAATCAGTTAAGAGTTAACATATTACAGTAGTTAAACACTAAGAGTACATAAAAAAAGTAGCTCTCCGAGAACAAAAGTAAGACACAGAGACAACAACAACCAAACACTGTCAACATCAGTGCACTTACAGATTAGAATAAATAACCTTTTAGTTAAAAATCCAGAGATAAGCAAAAAACAAACAGATCATATGTGTTGTAACAGTACAAGAAACTTTTGTATGTTTGCAACTTTGAATGCAGGCTACACATCTGTACATCTCTTTTAGTATTACAAACAACTTTCATACTGGTTTACAGGCATTCACAATAATCAGAGATGATAGTTTGGTTATCACAGAGATAGAACCAACAAACATTTTCCTATTAGAATACAAACACATATAAATAGACGAGACTGGGCTTTGAAGACTTTTTTTCAAAATCTAAAAGTACTGTTACGTCTCCGTTTGTTAATTTTTTCCCGTAAATTCGTTCTGACGAAACTTTAGCGACACAAGTCCTTACTAAATAAAAACTGGTGTATTATTTCCGAATATAACTTTACGATACACTTAATTTCAACAATCGCGCTAAAAAAACGCTATAACAACGAACGTGCTCAACTTCAATAATACTCTCTGACTGCAGATCAATTACTCACTGTCTACACACACATTGTCACGTCACGCCGTGACCATCTTATATATACCAGACCACCCCACCCCCCAATCTAGTAAATGCTAGAGCACTCCCGAAGGAACGGGATAGTTCTAGAAAGCAGGTGGCGTGACAATAGTCACGTGATCTCGCTGACGCAACAGTACAATAATATACTATAACATAAAATAAGCAAGATTAAATATAATTCATCAAGTTTCTTTGACCCAAAGAGATTATTAAATGTTTTATTATCAATTTAAACAATGTAAGGGGGAAGCTCTAGCACCTGAAAAATGAGAAATGTTATTAGTCTTACTACAGGGGTGTTATCATAATAGTTAGGGTTATCAGATCATAAAAAGCAGCAATTTCATCTGACTTGTGAATATTTTTTTTGGTTTCGATTACCTGATACATACCAAAAGTGACTGTTGCTGGAAGGTTACCATAGTCAAGCAGTACTTAAATCTTACTTATAGCTGTGTACAGTGGTCCCCCTCCCCTACGACACCCCTCGCCTACGACTTCCCCGCAGTTACGACTTTTTTTCCCGATGCACCGTCAGTGTTTGCATGGTAATGTCCCCCTAATGAACGACATCCCCGTAGATGCGACATACGACCGACCCAGAACGACCGATATCGGTGCTAACGGTTTCTCAGTTACGACTTTCTGTGCAAGTCATGACCTCTTTAATCAACGGAGACTCTACATTAAGAAATCAATAAATATATTTCTTGTTTTGTTGTCCAAACATTTCATTTTATACTTTCAGTACATATACTAACA